GGAGGAGGAGGAGGAGGAGGAGGAGGAGGAGGAGGAGGAGGAGGAGGAGGAGGAGGAGGAGGAGAGGAGGAGGAGAAGAGGAGAGGAGACGCGGGCCACCGTCTCCTCAAAGCGAGGACCCAACACCACAGGATGGTTGGGGAAAAAGGTAAGTGCGGAACGATCGAAGAGATGGTAGCGCTTGATACGTACCAGGGCATGCCGCATGGTATCGCATCACTCAGCCTGTCCACCAAAGCGGTGCCGAGTTTTGTGAGCATGTTGCTATCGAAGGGCGTCTTTACAGTGTATGTCACAGCTCAGGTTTTTTTCCCGCCAGTGCACACCGAGCAATGGGGTGGCAGGTTTTCGCACATACTGGACGGAGTTGGTGGGCACCGTGACGTGCTGGTTTGGCTATTCTTGTTGCCGCCTCCTTGTTCTCATATGCGCATCTGCGTTCTCCCTGCTCCCTTCTGCTCTTAGCTGCCCTGGTACGCCCGTTTTGAAACACAACACGTGCCGTGTTCAAAACGTTCCTGTCAATACGTTTCGCGTTGGCTCAACGTGTTGGCCCATGTTTTGGCGAACGTATCGCGCCAGACCCACGTTTTCAGTCTACGTGTTGGGCTCCGTACCAATACGCTACATGTCGCGTGGTGCGTACCGGGGCAGCTAAACTTTTGCTGCTTTTCCTGTTCCACCTCCTCCCGTCGTGCCCTCTGCCTCTCGGCATCGTGCCCCCTCGGGCTGAACGCGTGGCCAGGGCGGGGTGCGTCCGCCAAGCCGCGCCTGGCCCTCGGATGCTGTGCGCCGCACTGGTGCTGGAGGAGGAGGAGGAGGAGGAGGAGGAGGAGGAGGAGGAGGAGGAGGAGGAGGAGGAGGAGGTGTTGTGCCATGCCAGATTCTCTCGACCTTCCGCCTCTGGCTCCTCCCTCGCATCCCCGCTTTCCATGCAGGTCACGCCGGGAGGAGGGGCGGGGGGCGACATGTCCAGAGACAGTACGGGGGGTTGGTGGCAACTCCCGTCATCCTCTTCCTCCCGCTCCTCCTCCACCTCCAACTCCCTCTTCCTCCCTCCTCCTCCACCTCCTCCTCCCTCTTCCTCTTCCTCCTCGCTCGCTCGCTCGCTCGCTCGATCTCCTCCTCCTCCTCCTCCTCCTCCTCCTCCTCCTCCTCCTCTTCAATTATTATTGTTATCCTCCTCCTCCTTCTCCTCCTTCTCCTCCTCCTCCTTCGCCTCCCTCCTCTTCATTATCATTTTCACCCCTTCTCCTCCTACTTCCCTTCCGCACGCTCCTTCTCCTCCCTCCTCTTCGTCGTCCTCCTTCATTCCATTTCGTTATGAAAGCCCCTTAACCGTCGCATTCCCAGACGAGTCCGTAGGGCTGGGCCAGGCGTTTCGCCTGACACGTCCCATCCATTTGTTGTTCTGAAGCTTGAAAGTTGTAACAATTCCTTGGATGGAGGGCGGGCCGTTTTCAAGATGGAGCTCTCGCCTTAGCGCCCCGCACATTGTTGTAAACGGTTGCAGCAGTTTCAAGAATGGAGGCCTGCTGGGTTCCTTTATCGCTGCGCGCATTCGCTGTAAAACGTTGCAACAATTTGAAGGGCTCGTAGGGCTGAAGTCCCAGGAATGGTCTTTCATCACGTTTTTGGACCATCAGGGCGCACCAGGCACGTTGATTCGCGGCTTTGAAGTCCCATGGGCGGTGTTTTGGAGCGATGGTGCGTGCTCGACTCCTACCAAATATACAACGTAGTGCTGTTGTTATATCGTCTTTTCCTGTTCCTGGCGAGGCCCCCCCGTTTGGAGCCTGGGAGAGAGACATCTTTCTTTTTTTGGAAGTCGTCGGACGTGCGTCTTGCAATGCCACTTCCCGCAATTAGTATAACTGTTGGTAGGAGTTCATGAGGAGGGAACTTGAAGGGATGGTTGATTGCAATATCGTTGATGCGTCTTGGGTTCGCACTGGTCCTCCTCATCCTCTTCCTCCCTTTTCCTCCTCCCTCCTCCTCCTCCTCCTCCTCCTCCTCCTCCTCCTCCTCCTCCCTCCTCCTCCCTCCTCCCTCCTCCCTCCTCCCTTCTCCCTCCTCCCTCCTCCCTCCTCTCTCCTCCCTCCTCTCTCCTCCCTCCTCCTCATCCTCCTCCTCCTCCCTCCTCTCCTCCTCTCTCCTCTCCTCACTCCTCCTCCTCCTCCTCCTCCTCCTCTCTCTCTTCCTCTTCCTCTTCTCTTCCTTCCTCTTCCTCTTGCTCTTCCTCTTCCTCTTCCTCTTCCTCTTCCTCTTCATCTCATCTTCATCTTCCTCTCCTCCTCCTCCTTCCCGTCCTTCTCCTCCTCCTCCTCCTCCTCTTCCTCTTCCTCCCTTTTCCTCCTCCTCCTCCTCCTCCTCCTCCTCGTCCTCCTCCTCCTCCTCCTCCTCCTCCTCCTCCTCTTCCTCCTCCTCCTCCTCCCCCTCCTGCTCCTCCTCCCTCTCCTCCTCCCTCCTCCCCGGAGAGCGGGGGCGCTTCGCTTCCCTGAGAGGCCCTCGCTGCTTTCCATGGCCGCGACCTGGGACCCGGACGCGGTGGAGATGTACGCGCAGGCCGTCGGCGAGGAGTGGGGAATCTCCCGCCGCCTTTCGCCCTCGGTCCTCGTTGATGTCGTTCTCCTCCTTCTCCTTCTCCTCCTCCTCCGCCTCTTCCTCCTGCCCAGAGGGGGCCCCTCCCGTAGGGGGAGCTGTGGGGACCCCCGGGTCCTCCTGGCGCAGGCGGGGAGCGCTGTGCCCACGGAGCGACAAGCCGTCGCTCCTGTGGGGGATGGCCGCCAACAGCGCGGTCCCCTTCCCCCCAGAGGGTCGCTGCACGGTCAGGGGTCTCACCCCTTTGGCTCGCCGAGCGATGGGTCGTGCCTGGCGGCTCGTCCTCCCCTGTCGTGCGCCGTGTCGTGTCGTGTCGTCCGTCGTGTCGTGTCCTTCGTCGTCGCCGTCTCTTCTGTGTCGTGTCGTGTCGTGTCGGTTCGGGGCCCTGGGCCCTGGAGTTTTTTTGAAACTCGCCCTCTCGGCGGCGCAGTCTCCCGTGGGCCCCCTCTCAGCCTCTGGGGGGCCTCTCCCCCCGCCTCCAAGGCGTCGCCCGGGGCCGATGCCCGCGCGTGGCGGTTCGCCCGCGCCGTCGGGAGGCAGCGGCCAGGCGGGGCTGGCGGCGGCGGCGCGGATTCGTCCGACGCTCTTTCAGCCTTTTGGTCTTTCAGCCTTTCAGCCTCCTCCTCCTCCTTCTTCTCCTCCTCCTCCCTCCCTCCCTCCCTCCCTCCCTCCCTCGCTCCCTATCGCTGGATGTTGGTTTCATGTCGTGCTTCTGCTTGAAGTCTGTCTAGACTAGCCGGACACTTCGCTGTGCGTTCCCATTATGCCTGCGCCAACCGCTCGGCCAGTCCGGGCACAGCTGTCGTGCATCCGCTAGCGCAGCTGCTTCCACGGGGGAAGAGTTTGCGTCATATGTTCGTTCTGGGGGCCTTCCTCGAGGAAGCGCAGGCGTGGATTGAGGCGCGTGGGTTAGCGACTGGCCTTGTTTCTGTTGACCCGCTCAGTCGCCAAACGAGGCGGCACTGGCTTCGCGTGTCGGGAGGTACTTTCGCCGATTCGTGGATCTGGCGCCCACGCGCCAGATCCGTGGATTCGTCATCCATGTTAACGTGTGCCTGATCCTTGCCCCTCGTTTGATGTTCTGTCTGGTGACCTTTCCTGGGCTCACCTAGCGGATCTGTTCGACTCTGGCCCGACTGGGTCGACTCTCGACCCAAGTTCGACTCAATTTCGATTCTAGCTCGACTCGAGTCGACGGACGTTCGGCGCAGCTTCGACGCATGAGTGGAGCGAATGTTTGGTTCCAGGACCGTTTCCGGAACGAACATCTAACTCGTTTTCCTTCTCGATGCAGCAGTCCTCTCCTTTTGCCCCCCAGCTCCTTCCTGCACCCCTACTCTCCCTCGTCCTTCTCTTCCTCCTGTTCTCCCTTCTCTTCCTCCTTTCCTCCTCCTGTCCTCCTCCCTTTCTCTTTCTCTTCCTCCTCTTCCTCCTTTTTCTCCTCCTCCTCTTCCTCCTCCTCCTCCTTTTCCTCCTCCTCGTCCTCCTCATTGTTCTCCTCAGTCGAATAGGATGCCCTGCTGCTATCCGATAACAATCCAGCGCCGGAGCGAGCGCATCTTCGATAGAGATTGGATAGGTCCGCTTGCACCGTATTGCCGATGTGCTTCCCTTCCTCGCTCCCATCCCCCGAACATCTTATTGGTAGCGGAGTTTGGGGCTGTCCCAGCTTGCCATCCACGGAAGACGCGCAACGTGCGATGTGGACACGCGTTCGCACTTCCGTCATTTTTCGCACTGGTACCACTTCCTATTTCTTGAGTAGCCTGTGCTTATGGCTGTTCTGCACCCCCCACGGGAATTCGCCCACCTCACCCAAAGGCGCTACCAGGCCAACGCCAACGACCGCAAGTGACCCTGTGTGTGCGTTCCGTATCTTCGGAGACAGGTGGCGTGGTGTAGGGGTAAACCGACCCAAGAAGGCAACGATGCTTCGGCTCCCTCACCATCGCAACTTCCCGGCATTGGCAGTGGGGCGCAGGCATTTGCGCTATATGGCACGACAGGGCCAGCGCTTGGGTTCGGGTTGAGCGTGGTAGTTCTGGTTTGTCTCTTAGAGAGCACGCTGCACATTCCGTGAGGCATCAAACCGGTCAACGTACCTGTTTCACCACCCAAGAAGCAACATCAGGGGTTCCAGTTGCGACTGCTCCAACTATCGATGTGGTGTCGTCCCCATGCATGTCCGAGTCCCAAAACGCCTGCATGGCAACAGCGACGGCTGAGTCTACTGCATCTCCAACTTGGCACTACTGGGCAGTATCCTCATCCCCTCCGTGGTCTTCGTGCTTTGGTTTGTCTGTATGATACCTGGAGAAGCTGGACAGCAAGGCGGAGGCGGTGGCAGGGGCGGCATCACATACCGCCAGCCACGTTCCGGGTCACCCGACATGGAGTCAGCCTGCCCGTTCCGCCGCTGGGTGCAGGACTTGCTCGCCTGGAGCGTACTCGCCTCCGACACGGACAGCCCCCAAAGCGCGGTGCTATCATGGTGAACCTCGGTGGAACCGTTCGCGAGGTCACCCGTCCCGTGAGCTTCGCGGATATGACAGAAGGAAGATTGGCCAACGGACAACCAGAAGACGCCGTCACCGACCTCATCGCGTTTTCGCGACCCAGTTCGGACCGCTTGGTAAAGATTCGCGTCTACAGGCCATCCGCGAGCTCTTCGGGTTCCCGTGGCGACGCACCGAGCCCACCGATGTGCTGCTCTCGCGGTGCTTCACAGTGCGATTCCGCGCAACGCGCAACGGTGGAGCTGCGATGTCATGGGCAGGCTATAGCTGGCTGCTTCTTCGAGCGGTCGGCGCTATCGCCTGCCAACTCATGACGTTGTTCCAGCCCTGCGGCAACCAGTATCCAGCAACAGAGCTTGAGTTCAACAGTCTGACGACCATGTTCAGGCGTGTTGGTCACATCGTGGAGCACGCACCCAACGACATCGCCATCGCCCTCCGTTCACCGCCATCTTTCGGAGGCTTTGTAGGCATGGCGACGACAACAGGAACGACGCACGCGCAGCATGCCCTCATCGTTCTCATGGGCTTGTCCTTTGTGCTGCTGTTAGCGCTGCCGAACACCCATGCGCAGGAGGTGCCTTCACGTGCGCCGTCGGTTTTCAGCCGGGCGCGGCGCCGCCGCAGGTCGCGTATCTGCCGCCACGTGGCCGCGCGCTGACGAAGCGCAGGCCTACCTCGAATGTGGCGCTCGGAGACGCTATCGACTGCTCATCGGATCGTTTGACCAGTTCGGAGATTCGCCCCCAGCTCAGATCGAAGCCCAACTCTTCTGGCGCATGAAGTATTGTAAGCGTCAGTGGTGACGCCGTCGCGGTATCTGTCAATGAGGATGGACGTTCTTCTTCTGGCATCGGTAAAATCAGCACAGGCGCGGGCGCTCAGAAGTGCGTGCAGTTCCTTCGCCCAGCTGACCGACGACCTGCTGGGCGACGTCTCCCGCGGAGGCAACGGCGAAAGCGCGGGCAAGGGCGAGCGTTCAGCGGCAGAGGCAAGTGATATAGGACAGGGGTGCGACGGGGCCGTGATGGCGCGCCGCCTCCGTGGGTCGGAGTCCAATTTCATACCTGAATACCTGCGGGCCGGCTCTGGAAGTTCACGCGCCCGAGAAGGTGGCGCGACTTTCGGAGGCTGCGCCGACCCGGGGCCTATCAGTGGCGCCCTGGATGCTTGGGCTTTTCTCAAGCATTTCAGGCGTCAGCTGCATGGTCGCCGATTTTCTTCCGCGGGTGCAGTCTGGGCCCGGCCCATCCCCAGCGCGGCCTTCGACCGAGGGCTCCTGGAAGATGCCCGAGTCTATCCGCGGCTGGTGGTCGGCGGCGTCGCTGGCCGCCGCCCAGGGCTGCGTTTGCGCCGATGCGCCCGCCGTGCAACCTGCGTTGCAGATGTTCAACATTGCCGCGCCGTCTTCGGCGTTGCACCTAGCAGTGCTGCCGCCGTTCCCGGGCGCTGCCCCCGCGGCCTCGGAAACGGCAGTATCGTCGTGTCCATCACGCGTGGGGGCCCATGCTTCTCCTCGTCGGCTCTATGGTGCCCCCTTCGAGCTTGCCGTCGTAGATCAACAGTGCAGCGCGGGGGCCTCCTTTCGCCCGACAGGGCAACTTGCGGTCCCCGACGGCCGGCGAGCCACCGTGCCATGCCTCGGCGAATTTTGCCAGCTAGCTAGTTTTTGGCAGGGCCGGCCTGGGCAGGCCGCCGCGCTTGTCAGGTTGCAGCGCCGTGGCTGCGCGCGCCTCGCCGAAGCGCCGACCGCGGCCGCAAGGGCCGACGTTGCGCGCGACCTAGCCCCTGAGATCACTGTGCGACTCTCTGTCTTAGTTTTGGAACCCAGCGCGGCGCTCTGATGGATCGGCGCCGCGCTCGCCGCCGTGAGCGGGCCCGGCAGCTGATCGACCCGGTTCTGGTTTGGCCGCCGACGGCAGCCGCGGCCCCGCCGCCTCTGCCCGAGGGTCTACGAGCCGAATGGGCGTCGCTGGCGTGGCGGTGGATGGAGAGACTAGGTGTGGCATCTGCTTGGATGACAACACCAATTTGCAAGTGCGCGTTATCCTTCAGCGCGGTCGCCAGGTTCGTCGGAGCTGCGCCGACGCCGCAGGCGCCGCGAGGCTGGGCGACAACTCTCAGCTCGCGGCTGTCGAAGCTCGGCTCCGCGGCGACCAGGCGCGAGCGCCGTGCTCGTAGTGCCCGACGTGCAGGCGGCAATTGGTGGCGCGGGAGCTCGCGAGCATCCGCGTTGCTTCCGCGCACCGTCTGGCGACGTCCTCGGACGAGGCGCCGTCTGTGCCTCAGGGGGGCCCGGGTGCCAGACGTCGTTGTCAGCGCGCCGGCATCTGCGTGGGGGCAGGCGCCGCCGTGAGGTTCGGCGCGAGAATTTGGGGCCGATTTGCCAACGTACCCCTGGTGGTCCGCCAGCGATCCTGCTGGCGAGGTGCGCCGCGGCCGTGCTCAGCTAACCGCGGG